TCTGAGCCATCAGCCCAGAGCCCGACGCGGGGCTCGAACTCACAGACTGCGAGATCGTGACCTGGCTGAAGTCGGACGCTTAACCGACTGCGCTACCCAGGCACCCCAAAAATTACCTGTTTTATTTAGTTTGAATATTGACCTTAAAGTATATTTTAATACATGTATCAGAATTGATACATCATGAAGCATGTTTCTATTTGAAATAGATGTATAAAGTGGAAATGACTTAACCCTTATATGTTTATGTTATTTGATGTATTGAGCTTTCAATTTCTTCATTTAAGGAAATAGCAGTAATTAAGAGTATACTTTAGGTCTTTATTTTAATATTCCCTGCTTGATATTTTAATAAAACTTGATATAAATGAGTACTTGAGTGGTTAACATTATCTTTGACTATTACTAGATTTTTGCAATTATGTAAATTGATAACTCCCTCTATAAGTATTTCTGGCAGAAGTGTTTCTTGCCTGTTGTAATTTGATCCTGGAGATAGGTTAACCAACTTGCCCAGATCTGCCAGGTACTTTTCTAGTTTTAGGACTGAGAATCTTGTTTCCTAGGAAACCTCCCAATCCTGGGCAAATTGGGTGGTTGCTCATCTGAGTTGCAGAAGATTATGAATGTTTGTTAAATTAGGAATATTACAAATTGAGATTCTTTCATTTTTAGGAAAGCCGGTGGACAAAAGCTTAAGTAAAAAAGCTGAGGAACCATTGTCATGTTGTTGTGCATGCCATTCAAAGAATTTTACAAACATTGACTTGAAACAAGGAACTTCACATCATTTCAATTGTCCAAGTACACCACCTTCTGAAAGATATGGCACTTCATCAACTTGTCAAGGTAGTTTATACTTTGCCTGGCTCTTTTGATATCTGTGGTAGCCTTAATTATTGCTGTTATTAGATTTATCTAAGATAAATTTGGTTAGCATAATGGATTATGTATCTCCACCTAATTCTCTGGAATTATTTTCAGATAACACACAGAGTAGTCAGATATCCTTGGACTATTGTATTCGTGGCTTGACTTTTAATTTATTCAGACATTTTGCTAGTTTAAATCATTTTTTCAAGAAGGCAGTGCACAATAAATGATATTTAGAAATTGATCTTATTTGTGGTCAGTATTGTTAGAGTTTAAAAAAATAATACTGATTTGTATTGTAAGACAAAATCAGTTAGCCTCATTCGTTCATCTTTATGAATTTGCCTGAACTTCTGAGGCCAGTATATCCTCTCTGAGACTTTTTTTTTTTTAAGTACATTAGTTTTTTTTTTTAGTTGAAGTATAGTTGACACACTGTATTACGTACATTAGTTTCAAGTGTGCAACATAGTGATTCAACAAGTCTAGGCATTATTCTGTGCTCACCACAAGTGTGTCTACCATTGTCACTTTAATGCTATTATAATACCATTGATTAGATTCCCTGTGCTGTACCCTTTATCCCTGTGACGTATTCATTCTGTAACTGGAAGCCTGTATGTCCCACTTCTCTCTGGCAGCCATCAGTTTGTTCTCTGTGTTTATGGGTCTGTTTCTGCTTTTCATTTATTTATTCAATTGTTTTGGTTTTTAGATTCCCCATATAAGTGAAATCATGTGGTTTTTATCTTTCTCTGACTTATTTCACTTAGTATAATACCCTCTAGGTCCATTCATGTTGTCACAAATGGCAAGATTTCATCCTTTTTTAAGGCTGAATAGAGAATCAGGTAAATTTTAAATATGATCCTTTACTAGTTCTTACTAGATTTATTTAAGAGAAGTATACTAAGAGACACCTGGCTGGCTCAGGCAGTGGAGGGTCCAATTCTTGCTTTCAGCTCAGGTCATGATCTCATGGTTCATCGATTTGAGTTCTACTTCAGGCTCTACACTGACAGTGCAAAGTCTACTTGGGATTCTCTCTCTCCTTCTCTCTGTCTCTCACCTGTTCTCTCCCAAAATAAACTTAAAAAAAAGAGAGAGAAATATACTAAGAATATCACAAGATTATTAACATCTAAAAGTATTTCTTTGGCTTTGAGTATATGGGAATGGTTAACCATTATTTGCCTAAGCTGAAAACCTAGGAAATATCCTGTATGCCTTGTTCTTCCATATTTCTCCATGCAAACCTCTATCTCCATTGATACTTCCTTAGTGCCAACTACAATGTTTAGTTTAGAGCATGCATTAACTTCTTGTACTGCTTTCACTCATGCCATTTAGATTTAGACTTTAGATTTAAGTCTAAATAGTATCCATTTCCTAAAATCAGGGTTGGAGTCATCTTCCCCTAAAACACATGACTGTGGGGGCGCCTGGGTGGCTCAGTCTGTTGGGTGATCGACTTCGGCTCAGGTCATGATCTCGCAGTCCGTGAGTTCGAGCCCCGCATCAGGCTCTGTGCTGACAGCTCAGAGCCTGGAGCCTGTTTCAGATTCTGTGTCTCCCTCTCTCTCTGACCCTTCCCCGTTCATGCTCTGTCTCTCTATGTCTCAAAAATAAATAAAGGTAAAAAAAAAAAATCAAATAAAAAAATTTATAAAAAATAAAATAAAAAATAAAAAGCTTTAAAAAAACAAAAAACAAAAAACACATGACTGTGTGGAGGAGGGTAGCTGTTTGAACTAAAGTATGATTCTGTTAGGAATGAGGAAGAAGTGGTTGAATACATGCTAGAGAGGTGATCATTAATGTTGTCTACACTATTCTTTTAAATTTATTCTTTAATTTATTTTTTTTAAGTTTATTTTTGAGGGAGAGAGACAGAGCATGAGTAGGGGAGGACCAGAGAGAGAAGGAGACACAGAATCTGAAGCAGGCTCCAGGCTCTGAGCTGTCAGCACAGAGCCTAATGTGGAGCTTGAACTCATGGCCTGCGAAGTCGTGACCTGAGCCAAAGTGAGATGTTCAACTGACTAGGCCACCCAGGTGCCCCAATGTTTATTTATATTTGAGAGAGAGAGAGAGACAGAGTATGAGTGGCATAGGGGCAGAGAAGAGAGAGAGAGACACACACACAGAATCCAAAGCAGGCTCCAGGCTCCCAGCTGTCAGCACAGAGCCGGATACGGGTTTTGAACCCACAAATCGTGTGATCGTGACCTGAGCTAAATCAGATGCTTAACCAACTGTGCCACCCAGGTGCCCCAGTGTTGTCTACACTATTTTGACCCTTAGCCCTTTTGACTTTCTTTCCATTCCTTAAGAGGGTTATGCTTTCTCTTGCCTTAGAGCCTTTGTTTATAGTGTCTCTTCTGAGGAAAATCCCATTTTCAGTTTGTTTTCCTGCTTTTCCTTTAGGTCTCAGCTTAAATGTCACTTCCTTGAAGGAGCCATACTGACCTTTCTATCAGACTAGATTTGGTTTCTGTATTATGTTCTGTCCTCTCACTGTGTACCTCTCCTTTATAGCACTTGTCATAGTTTTATTATCCATATGTCTGTATTCATCATTTATCAATCTCAGCTTCCCCTAGCAAACTATGTACTCCATGAGGTCAGGGACCATGTCAGTTTGCTTGTCATTGAATCTTTAGTGCCTAGCAGAGTGCCTGGCATATAGTAGGTGCTAGCTAAAGATTTATTGTATGAATGAGTGGAATTGACTTTGAGATAATTATAGGAACTTTGGTTTATCTTTATATACAACCTGTTTTTTTTATTTTTTATTTTTTTACGTTTATTTTGAGAGAGAGAGAGAGAGAACGAGCATGCACAAGTGGGAGGGGCAGAGAGAAGGAGAGACAGAATCCCAAGCAGACTCCACACCACTAGCCCAGAGCCCGATGCAGGGCTCTAAATTACAAACTATGAGATCATGGCCTGAACTGAGATCAAGAGTCAGGCCCTTAACTGACTGAGCCATGCAGGCGCCCCTATACAACCTGTATTTTTTAAAAAACAGCCTTATTGAAATATACCTGACATGACTATATATATGCATGGTAGGTACACTTTGATAAATTTTGACATAGGTGTACCTTCATTAAACTTTCAGCAGCATCAAGATAGTGAACATATCCATCACCTTCAAAAGTTTTCTCATGCCCCTTTGTTATCCCTCTTTCCCAACCCTCCATGATTCACTCTCCCCAAACAACCACTGATTTGCTTTCTGTCAGTATAGATTAGTTTGAATTTTCTGGAATTTATATAAATGGAATCATAGTTTGTACACTTATTTTATCTAGCCTCTTTCACTTAACATAATTCTTTTGAAATTCATCCATGTTGTTGCATGTATCAATGCTTTGTTCCTTTTTATTGTTAAGTAATTTTCTATTGTATGGATATACTACAAATGGTTTCTCCAGTCTCCTGTTGATTTATATTTGAGTTGTTTCTATTTTTAAGCTATTACATATAAAGCCACTATGAGTATTTGTGTATAAGTCTTTGTTATGGACATATATGCTTTCAGTTTTCTTGACAAAATACTTAGAAGTGATAGGACTAGATCATTTATGTTTAACTTTTTAAGAACCTTACAGACTGTTTCCCAAAGTGGTTTTACCTTCTTACATTCTCACCAGCAGTGGTTGGGAGTTCCCAATTCTTTATATCCTTGTCAGCACTTTTTTTGCCATTCTAATAGGTATGTGGTAGTATCCCATTGTGGTTTTAATTTACATTTCCCTAATCACTTGTGACAGTTGAGCATAATTTCATGTGCTTATTAGCCTTCTATGTTATCTTCCCTTATTTTTAAGTTTTTTTTTTTTTTTTTTAATAAAGAGAGTGCACTATGTGAGCAGGGGAGGGGCAGAGAGAGGGAGAGAGAGAATCCCAACCAGGTTCTGTGCTGTTAGCACAGAGCCCAACTCGGGGCTCCATCCTCGATCCTGATCCCAGGAACCGTGAGATCATGACCTGAGCCAAAACCAGCAGTCGGATATGGATGCTTAACCGACTGAGCTACCCAGGTGCCCCTCTTTTTATATGTTTATTGAGCGTTTGAATAGCCTCTTCAATGAATTGCCTATTTAAGTTGTTTGCCCATTTTTCTATTGGGTTGTTTCTTACTGATTTCTAGGAGGTGTGTTTTGTGTTTTTTTTAAATTCTAGATAGGTCTTATTTCTTTATAATTTTATATTTTAAAGACTTAACCCCTTCGATAAACTTCTTGCGCACTGCCCTGCTATAAAGGACAGGAAGAGGGGCGCCTGGGTGACTCAGTCGGTTAGGCGTCTGACTTCGTCTCAGGTCATGTTTTGATGGTTCATGGTTCAAGCCCCATGTCGGGCTCTATGCCGACAGCTCAGAGCCTGGAGCCTGCTTCCGGTTCTGTGTCTCCCTCTCTCTGGCCCTCCCCTGCTCATGCTTTGTCTCACTCTCTCTCTCAAAAATAAATAAACATTAAAAAAAAAAAAAGGACAGGAAGATAAGTCTTTTTTATATGCAGGTAATGTGATTTTTTTTTTTTTTGAACGAATTGGGTTTAATCTTATTTGACACATGGCAATTTAATTTTTCTAAAACTAAATAAATTAATTGCTTTTGGTAGATGCTTCCTACCCTTTAATGGGCCCATACAAATTTGCCCCTTGATTTATTAGGGGCAGAGTTTCTCAATAATGGCACTATTATATTTTGAATGGGATAATTGTTTGTTATGGGGACTGTCCTATGCATTGTGGGATGTTTAGTAGCATCTCCTAGGACTCAACCCACTAGATGCCAGTAGTATCTGGCATTTTGTGACAGCCAGAAATGTCTGTGTCCAATGTCCCTGCGGGACATTGTTAAAATTGCTCTAGTTTGGAACCACTGATCTAGATTCATTTTGTGGGTATTTTACCAGTTTGACCAGAAATTGCAGAGCTCAAAATTACATGTCTTTTCTAAAATA